CGCCAATCGGTTTTTGGGGCGCCAATCATTTTTAGCTAGTTAGTTTTTTGTATGGGGCGCCAATCAAAAGAATGCCATTAATATTTTTAATATGCTTAATATTTTGATATTAAAAAATTTTTTAAAATTTAACCCTCAATGATATTAATAAAGTTTATTTGTTGTACTAATAATTCAATTACTTTATTGAAGATGAGTAAATTAAATGAGAATCAAAAGTTAAAGACATTAATGAACCTGATGTAATTAACCTAAAACCTAGTACCAGTAAAAAACTTGATCCAATTGAAGAAGATAAAAATTCTATTGATTTAGATTATCAAAATTTAAGTTTAGAAGATGATGTATTTAAAGAAGATCATAATAAGATAGAAAAAACAGAATCTGATTCTAATGTTTCAATTGCGTCTTTAAATAAGCCTAATGAAAGTGTTATTAGAATGTCAAGAGATGATTATTTAATTAAAAAAGTAGAAGAAATTAAACAAAAACATTCACATTACAGAATAACTATTTTTATCTTATCAACTTTTACAGTATTTTTAATGTTAGCATTTTCAATCACTTTTTATTATCTGATAGAATGTAAATTTATTTAATAAAATCATTTATTAATTTATTTAACTTTTTATTTCTTAAGTTAAACAGTAAATTTATTGTTTTAATTATTTTATAAAAAAATAATAACAATTTTTATTAACTTTAAAAAAATTAATAAGATAATAAAAAAACTCTTTAAAATGTAAGAATTTGTTTTTATTTACTTGTTTTTTGAAAAATATAGAAATTACAAATGATATTATTAATATAAAGTTTTAATAAATTATTTAAGATAAATGAAAGATGATTGATATTATAAAAATAAAATACCTCAAAATTTAAAAATTAAAAAAACATTTAATTTAAACAAATTTATAATAATGACGTTCATATAATTTTTATTTTTAAAAATAAAAAATCTTTTGTTACCAGATCAAAATTAATTTATATTTTGATTAAATCAATTGAATAAAATAATAGAAAACTTATTTAAAATTAATTTTTGAAAATGAAATGATTTATTAAATTTTATTTTAATAAGCTATTTAATTTTCAAAAATCGTTATTTATAAACTATTCAAAGAAATTAATAATTTACTTTGTTATTTTTAATTATAAAAAATAAAATTTAATTTATAACATGAAAATTGGACTATTTAAAAGTAAATCATTCTTTAAAAAAAGAGTTTTAAACATGATAATAATTATTTCTTTGGTTATTTTTACAGTTATAATGATGTATGTTTATTATAAATTTAAAATTGATAATTTAGAAAAAAAACATTTTTATATTCAAGAAAGATTAAAGAAAAAATATTTTTATAAATTGAAGGAGGAAACTGAAAATTATAAAAAACAATTTAAGAAATTAGAAGAGAAAATAAAAATGATGCATCACAAGTCTAATTCTTATTTAAAAATCATAAGAATATTGTTGTGTAAAAATCAAGAGATTTTTAACAAATTAATTGATAATTTAATTAATTATACTCGTAAATCTTTTGATAAATCAGATTATGATACATTTAAAATTATTAAAAAATCAATTTATACAGTATTGCTCAAAAAAACGTGGACAAGTAAAAAAATGAAAAATATCATCAATAAAGAAATATCATGAAATTTT